GATCAAAGAAGAATTAATATCTTTGAATTATGGTGTTGGCAAAAAATATTAAGTCTGCCATAGACTGCCAGAAATATGAACAAATTTGTCTTGGAAGAAGTACAGCCAAAATGCTCCTTAGAAGCAAAGATGGCAAAATTTCATCTCACATACTTTGGACATGTTATCATGACGGACCAGTCTCTGGAAAAGGACATCAAGCTTGGTAACGCAGAGCATGGAAAAAGGAAGATTCACAATAAAATGGATAGATACAGTGGCTGCAACAATTGATTCAAATGTAGCAACAATCTATTCAAATGTAGCAACAATTGTAATGATGGTTCAGGGTCTGGAAGTATTATTTTGTTGTATGGTATACAAGGTCTCTATGAGTTGGAAAAATTCAACAGCAGCTAAAAACAGCAGCATTTTATACTATTCTGAGAGTATTTTCAATGTGACTGTAACTGTGTCTACTTGTTAGACTGGTAAAACAGAGCAAACCCCATTTCTCTATAAAATAGAGCTAAGCCCCAGCTTGGATGCTCCAGCTACTTTAAAACTGGTATTGTAAGAAAACGTTTACAAGTCATGTAAAGAAATGTTTCTTTCTTGTAAATAAACTAACAACAGAGCACAGTAACACATTGGAAAATTACAGGGAAGGAGAATGAAAGGCCTCAGTTTATTCTAGTCCATAATTACTTTTAGGAAAATTGTAGATATGTTTTTAACAAGTCCATATTTCTATATTGTTCTTTGTAAACTGTCCCAAGAAGCAATAAAGTAGCTCCTTAGAATGAGGACCACATCTGGATTCTGGCTTCCTGAATCATGAGTGCTGGTATGTCATACTTGTATATTTGCTAAAATTCTCTTTTCAGGGAACCTATCAATACAAAGCAATATAATAATAAAGGCTGTTGTGTTGGTTACCTAGTGCCACTCTTGATAGGAATATACCACAAATGGGGGAGAATTTAACAAACAGTTTATTCTCTTACAATATTGGAGGCTTTATGTCTGAATTCAAAGTACCAGGCTCTAGGGGCTAGGTGAAATCTCCTCAACCTTGGGCTTCAGCTCTGCCTCCTGCTCCTGGCCCACTGAAGCTAGAGGATTTTTCTTCACTCAGACAGCTGCTGGCTGTTGATGCTGACAAGCCCAGGGTTGACAAGTAAAAAGGCACAGTCCCAATATTACCAAACAACACAGTAGGCCATTGATTCAAGTTCATTGAAAGTCCCAAGATCAGCAGAGCATGGCAGGCTGCTGAACAATGCTTTGGCTACATGCAAGGTTCCAGTGTGCCTTAATCTAGAGACCATTCCCAAAGCTGCTGCTTATAAATGGGAAGCAGACCACATCCTTAAAACAGCTACTCAGCTGCTTGTGGTAGATCCCACCATGGAGTTGATTGCCAGTCTCATGATGGGGAATAACTACCACCAGCTTCCCAGCCACTCAACCAGGCCCAGCCCACCAAAATATCTACCGGTAAAATAGCTGGTCCATAACATACTATGTGTTTAATGAGAATAGGCTCTGGTTGATTGATTAAATATGCTTTCAGGATT